AACCGAATGGACCCCATTAACATAGAATACGCCTTACAACCAATTCGCCGATTTTGTTTTATCCGAACCGCGCAGCACTGCACTACGTAACTACGTTAATAATTTAGTGGCTGATTACTTTGTGTTCACTTTCCGTCACCAGCGAAAACGGACTTATTCAGAAGTTTCATTCAAAAATGCGTTGATTAGTGTAAAATGAAAAACTTGTTTCAGAAATCAATGAAAAAGTCATGCATTGTCTCGTTATAACCCTAGATAAGAAGTTAAACTTTGTACTCGGCCAGACGGAATGGGCAAGACAGAAAGGATACATCGGCGCACCCGAGTTCATGCACCAATACAAGCATATTGTGATTAGTTGCGGGCATTGTTGGGCGAACACATTGCGATATGCTTTCAGATCACATGCAGGCTCGGACAACACCCCTGTTAGTTCAGTCAACAACCGTTTCGTTTCATCAACTAATCGCTCTGTCTGTGTTATCCCCCCTCCCCCTGTCCTGGTCACCCTCCCCTAGGCCGTTCCGACCGTCACCATCACCACCACCTCAATTTAATCGGTGTGACGAAGATCGGCTGTGAAGAAAGAAGACAGCGACATGGTGAGGACGGATCCAGTTTTCCAATGGGTAGCCACCGCTACGCATCGACGAAGATGATGATGGTGAAAGTTCATTGACCACGTTCCCAGGACACAAACACCAACTCCCCTACCCCTACCCCCTCCGATTTGAACATAGAGGCTGCATGTAGGTAAGCCATCTCTGAGGCCGAAATCGATCTGACCTATCACCAACCGATTGGTTCACTAATCCCTTGCCTTCTTGGTGTCCGGCCAATCGGCAATTAATGCCGTGACCTTGATACACATGTGCACGCACGCACACACGCTCAGCAGCGATGCCCATTCGAAATGAGGTTAAAGACTGACGTATTTGAGCACCGATCATTAAACACAGACAGTATCGAATTGGCTGTGGTTATCGTTATCGCTCTCTGTGCTCTCTCTTTCTCTCCTTGGAATCATCATGGGCGGATATGACGATTGCACCCGTGTCCAGCTCAATGGTGTTCGTGGGCTTGTTCGAATGGATCGTTTGCCAGATTCCCAACAATGCAAATACATCGATGGTACTGAATCAATGTTGTATCGCAATTTGGAAGAAAGCATGTGTCGGATGACTTTGACAGATATCAATATCCCAACAACAGTGTCAACGTCCCACTTCATGCCAGATGATTTGCGTGCGATTGTTGAAACCGCCTGGACAGCATGCACTCAAGATCCCTCAGGAGAAATGTTGGGGTCCGAACTAGTCCAGAGTCCAGTAAGCGTACAATCAAGTAGCCGATCATTCTCTCCGACTGCGGATACTGTGAAACCTAACGATTCACTCGAACATATATTGTCCATCCTGAAAGCGCATACCCACACATCAACCTCAGTCACTTGTCAGTCCCCAGGCCGTGTTCTGCTCCCACATAACGTAATCTCATGTGAAACTAGTCGGGGTGATTCAAATAGTCCGTGGGATGGTTTCCACGATTCAGCATCCCACAACACTTGTATTCGACCTAAGATGCGACCCTTGTTACGTCAGCGGGAATCCTACATTACACCTGTTGGTCGAGTGAACCACATAGACTTCATGACAGCACCCAGTCGTGCATCAACTCCACTACCTGCTGTCCCCAAACCGATGCAGGTACACCGGCGTCAAATTGCGCCTCGTAAGCAAGATGCGATATACAATGCCCGGTACAAAACACAACCCTGTCTACACTATCAAAAATACAAACGGTGCCCATTGGGGGACAACTGTCATTTTGCCCATGGACCCGAAGAATTGCTACACCCACAAATGCATCCGAAGTACCGTACGAGAGTTTGTCTCAATTATGCCCAGACTGGCGTTTGTCCTTTTGGCAAGCACTGTTATTTTCTTCATGCAAGCCCAAGTCCTCATCTCTATCAGTCTTCCAAAGACGCGAACTCCGAGCTGCTCATGTGTCCAAATTTATCGGTCCGGTTGGACCAGCGACATACAGTGTGCGGAACTTAATTTTCCGGTGTGAGTTTGTGTGTGCCCTTTATTTTCCCCAGGAGATTTTTAATATCCCCACTCCGCCTATTTATTATCTGTTTGTCAGTGCTATTCGCCAAAACTATCTTTTACCGTCAACGTCAGATACATTTATTCCTGACACGTCGGACACATGTTTATTATTATTATCATCATACTGCTTCTCATCAGAAATCCCTTGTTATTCTATATTCCCGCCGATTTTTCTATCCGTTAAGAAGCCGATCTTATTCTACTGTAGCTTGGCGGTGTTCAGATTGATTGCCTTGTATAATAAACTGTTTATCCTCTTCCAATCCGTCTTATATTTGCTCGTATAGGCGGGTCAGAGATCCTATCGGATTACCGGGAATTGTTTCGTACTGCGTGCTTGTCCGTTGGTTGGTTCAAGTACACTTTATAGTTAACATCGTCGTCAGAGCGATTCGCTACACTTGCGAGTTACAAGGTGCTTTACCAGGTATAGATAGGGACCTTCAAAAAGTGCTTGTTTCCAATAGTCCTTTCGGGGTATCATGATTGGGGTGTTGTTACTTTTTACTGTTCGCGTATGCTGTAAGGGTTACGACAAAACCGACGTTGCTGGAGTTCCAAGTCGTTGCTTGATTTGTTTGAGGCAGTTTGGGTCCCACCATTCAACGTGTTTTTGAAGAATTTAACGCTGTGCTGAAAATTAACAGATACGTTGATCTAAGATATGTTTTAGCAGTGATTCCTAACCTAGAAGTGTCCATGGTTCCACCGCTCGATTGCTGATACAGCATCAGATACGATCGATATCGTCGTCTGGTTACCTCGTGGTGCACATTCGTTTACATAAGTAAGCGTAGGGATGTAGGACTTGGAACAGCCCTTAACCGCGTTGAGGATTGTTGTTTTCTCTATCCGTTATCAGTTTAACACTATACGTTAATAGGCGATGTCCCATTTAGAAACGATGAGGCTCCTTGTGTCCATAACTGAACGTGCTTCGGAGCGAATGAATATCCCCTCCGGGTATAGGCGAACTAGCTTTGACAAGAACTTGTATTGACCAATGTGGTGATTAAATTCAGAAGAAATCCGATTGTAAGCAGATCAATAATCCGATATGCGTGGTGGAATGCTGCCATTCATGATATCAACTAAGGACGATGCAGTGCTTGTCGGAAGATATCTACTAGCCAGCGGTGATTGTTGATGACGGATTTTCGTTGTGATCCAATTGGCTTATCGAGAGCCATAACCGTCTGTTACTGTGCCCCGCTCATCGGTTTGATGGGACAGTTATTCGCATTTTGGTCCGCGAATGGATAGTCATTTACAGACACTTGTAAACTGGTCCGTGTGATACTGATCGCATTTTTATGAGAGCAATGGAGAATTCGATTCGATTTCAATTCACTGCGCATATGGCAAAAGTGAAAACCTAGGAAGCACTGACCAGCTGTTTTCGCTTGGGTAGGTCTCATCAGTAGTGTGAAACCATCCACCGGGACCTCACAGGCGTTCTAGCTTTTTACGCTTCATTTGCCATATACACGACGAATCGATCCTTTGATTGCATTTTGTAGATAAACTGCCCTCCGCTGGTGCTATGAAGATTCCCCGTCCTGATGGTTCACGGTAAATAACTAGGGCACAGATCAACTTTACCAAAGGGCCGTGTCCAACCTGCATTTATTTTAATTATGGTTTTCCACATAGCCTCGGGTAGAATTTCTTTAAGACTAACCATTACAGTAAACCAGAATGGTCCGGAATAGATCGAAGTTGTTTATTCAATCATAGACTGCATCTATTCTGACTCCAAAACCAATCAGAAACAAATTTAATTCGTCTGAGAAGGAGAATTTTTAAAGGTTTTGGGTGAAGGGCAACGAGAAAACATGTGGATCAAACTTGTAAGAGGTGATGAAAAATGGCACGCAGTAAAAATACAATACAACGCATTTCAGGAATTATCCAGTATGATTTGCGAAAATACTATTACGATATGTCATTTGCACATCTTTGGGAAGGAGTCCTTAACTGACTGGAAACGGTTTGGGAATCTATCGTACACATGAAAATTCATGCTCGCTGCTGGACCGTGGAAGCAGTTTGATGAATATAAAAAAATTTCCTTAGAAGGCGGAACAGGAGGATGCTGTAAAAAATTCTGGCACGTTACCAACATTTTCTGATAATAGGACTCTTTTGATCTATGTTTCTAGTGTAAACATCAACTAGAATCGTTTCATGCGATCCGGTTGTGAAAATGTCACGATCCTCGAGCTTCTAATTCACGCGGGGATGTTGTCGGACTGGATTACATAACAAAAGATTCTAGCAAACACCATGAAACTTGAAAACTTTATCGGTTAGCTCATATTGTCCTCGGAGTCTGTGACGCTGCAAATTTTGATGCGTGTGAACAGCTGGAAACAGCATGCGTGGCCTTGGAGCTCATCTGGTCGAGAGTAGATTGTACAATAACGTAAGTGACGTCCCAGTGTAGGCTCGAATCCCATCAAGGCGCGTGATATTCACAAAGTTGGATCATGTGAAATCATTTTTCTAGGAGAAAATTGCGAACAAGTTTCACTTACCCTTCATTGTAGTTTTGAATGCCGTCAGTTTCTGTTTATTTTAAATTTCCAGATCTTTGGGCATAAAGTAGGAATATTAGAAGATAAAATACCAGATTGGAACGATATCAAATCCTTTTTAATGCCGTTTAGGATAGATCACTAACCCGGAGCCCAAAAGATTCTTTTTTTAGAGCTAACTGTCTAGGTCGTTCAAAATGAACGGGTGCTCTTTCCTTTGTTACATCCACGCGCGCGCACTTGGTACTTTTCCACCAACATATGCTAGTCACCTACTTGTAAGTATCGACATCCTCGGGGCCCTCATTATGCATATGCGTCGTGTCGGTGATGCTCGTCTATTCATTCCAATACCCCATGGAGACATCACCTAGTTATCCTGCCGGTGAATGCATACAATGCATACATGTCATTCAACCCCCCGCCCAGCGGTAGCAAAAACTGACCAAATGGAAGATCATGTTCTGTCACATGGCAAAGTCGACGTGGCATTAAAATGCAAACAAACATTCAGGAGATCAGGATCATTGTTTGGTGTCTAGCCCAAACCCCACCCGTTGGGGGCGAACGAGCTAATCGTATGCTGTGGGTTCCACCGGACAATCAGCTTGTGCAAGGATTGTGCATGCGCCATTCATGAGGTCGACGATTCCCGCAATCAAACAAAAAGTGACCATCCATTAGATAGATACGGGTGAGAAACAGGAACACCATTCTATAGTCCAACTCCGTCCAAAGCACAGGAGCGATATGTGTCCCGGAGGGGGTCAGACATGTGGGGGTTAGGAGTGTACACAATTGGAAAGCATTATCTGCATACCACATTTTTATAAAAACAACCACCAGGTGAGTGCTCAAGTGTGATATAGTTTTCGTTGAGAGTAATACTTTTAGCTACCATTTATTTGGCATAATGTAAAAAATAACATAATCTTTGGAAAGGGAGCGACAGCAGTTTGGTGAATGGGAATGTGGGACGACAGTAACTGAATTTGAACACCCAAATTACTATGCAGTGGGGTGATTTTCTTTACCATGCTTTATGCTCCTCAATAAATGAATATTTTAGGAGGCTTAATTATCATTCAAGAAACAGTACCATCTTCATTGGCATGAGCATTTACAACTAAGTACGAATATTTTTCATACATAAATGCGAATAACTGTGAAATTCGATCTACCAATTGTTCAGCATCGATCATCAGGTCTGGTGAAAACACTGGGTCAACAAATCTAACCGTGGGGTGCTAACTTAGAAAAACATAATATTCCAACGTCTAGCGAGTGAATAGAGCGTCAGAATAAGGTATTCAATTCTCGTTGCCAATTTAGGATACCTAGGAATCAATGGAAAGGGTTCCGGCATCTAGCGAATCCAATCTGATGTCCGAACAGCTGAAACTGAAAACGGAGTGGGTAGAATACTAGCCGTGGAGTTCAATTAGGCACACGATGCAAACGTGTTTAATTTGATCTGCTGATCGCCACCCCAGCCTGTGGTTCCGGTCACTTACGGAACGTAATCATTCGGGAACTCAGTTCACTACCTCAAATGGATCAAAACTATACGATATTGAAATTTTTCCGGAACCCTACTCCATGCGCATTAGTAAGTAGCTGTAAAAATTTCAAGGTCAACTGATTCTCTCATGTGAATCGATTTCAGCTGTCTGCAGTGGAGCTGGTGTATGGCTGCAAATTAGTTATTTAAGTTAATCCATATGAGACTGCTTTTCTTGTTCGTATCATTTGTCCCAAGTAAGTTGACATAAACTTGCGATGGAAATATTTGTAATGACCGACAAACAGTATTGGAAGGCCGTTTCGTCCTGGTCAGCAGTGCGTACCTTTTTGTCCTTGTCCGCACTCTTTCAGCGATCAGTCGGGTCAAGCCCTTACCCCTGAGCTACACGGTCGACGGTCATCACCTTGTGCGAATGGATCAACCAATTTAGACGGTGAATATTTGGATTCGCCCGTTCGATTTTTCAGAGGCACCAAGCACTCTTGATTGTCCTGAGTGTGGGTTTCACTCCTCGGGAAATCGATAATCGCCCAGGAGGTAAATGCATTCAAATGCGATGGAAATGTTTGTGATGATCGAAAAAGAGCTCTGGACAACTGTTTCGTTCTGTTTGTGATTGGTCAGCAGTGCTTGGTGCCTCTGAACAACCGAACAGACTGATCTAAACATGATACTCTAAATTGGTACCATAACACCAAAAGCAATCAGCCCATACCAGAGAACATTTGCGGATCGAACTGATGTTGGTCATCAATTTCACGTGCACTCATTCAGGTGTAAACGCATATTTTTAAAATCGTGCCAGACAAAGAAACAAGCAATTTGAACTCGGCCACTGGAGTAAGATGGTGGACAAGTGAGTTCGTTAATTGGGTTTGAATAGA